AATTAGACCGCCAACCTCACATCTCCTTTTGGTGGGGTCGGGATGGAAATCTTCATGTTTCCCCTCTCACATCAAATATCCTGAAATGTCTACATATTAAAGCAGCATGAGTAGATTTAAACACATCCACCAATCTCCATCCAAAGACTGGGGGATATACGAAGAAAAGGCATACTATGTAACATATCACAATTACATAAAGCCCTTTGGAGCAGTGTCTAGCTTTTTGTTCTCCATGGAAACCAGTTGCAGAAGTGCAAAGGGCTGGTCATGCATCTCCCCATCAGTGTTCATCTGTTTCAGTGGTCTGTGTGTGAGGGGAAGCCTGTGAGTACTGCCTTACCCAGAGACGACAGATCCAGAAACAAAAAAGACATCTATCGAGCAGCATAAGGCAGAACATGAACGCCTATGCTTCCTTAGGCAGCAGAAGGCAGATGTGTCTCCTTCTGCTGGAAGGAGCTTCACCCCACCAACACAAATATTAACAGGAGGCTGTCATATGATGCAAAACTGCAGCTGATATTAGGTGGGTAACCACTCAGGAAGAACCTTAATCTCGATTTTCCTGGAATTAAAATCAGAATGAAAAACAATGGGAAAAGTTGCTAAATATGAAAATGAGAAAAGTAGTATCAGAAGGCTGTGGCTGCCCAGGCAGGGAGGCGATGGTATGGCTGCACAGACATGGCGGCCTTTGATCACCTGTCTGCGATGAGGGTCAGCAGTCTCTCATCAGAGTGACAGAGGGCCAAAGGCAGTACCCATAGGGAAAGACGCATCTGACAGTCATCAGGGAACTTGGGAGAGGTAGCGATCATCAAGAAACAATGTTTTTAGAGACTCAGTCATATCGAAAGCACACACTATGTATGTTCTAGAACAACCAGGTCCTAGTGTATGAGAATGGATCCAAGGTTCTGAAAGCATGGAGAATGAGGCAAGCAGATTCAGGGTAGATGCTGTAGCCGACTAGGGACTTATGGACAGAGGCTTGGTCCTGCGTAGCAGCAAGAACAGTGGATCCTGGTGTTTAGATGCGAGGTAAGGGGCTTATAAAGTGGTTGAGACAAAGGTGACTTCCTCCAAGCTGAAACGTACCTGGTTTAACTTAAGCTAGTATCAAGGACATGAGCTACATGAGGTGTAGGCTGCACCAGGCTCTAGTCATTAAGTTCCACATGTACTTGCTATGATTTGAATGTGAATTGTCCCCAGAAGTCTCCTGCGCGTGAACAGTTACTTCCTGGATGTGGTGCTGTTTTGGGAAGTTGTGAACTTTTTGAACATGAGCCCTGGTGGGCAGATATGGGGTTGTAGGCTAAGCGGGGTGTGGGCTAAAGGATTACAACCTCTGGGCTTCCCGATCGATGGAACTGTATCAGGCCACATCACAAGCTCTCATTACCCCGGTTAGAGTCCCAGTACCTTGCCCCTGTCAAGAACCTGTAAGCTAAGATAAATTCTCCTTTGGCTAAGTTGTTTCCTGTCGGGTGTTTTTTTGTCCCAGTGAAAAGGAAAGTATCAAATACATTATCGGTTTACTTCTTTATAGTATATTGGCAAGCTTTGTGGTAAAACCAACCAGGAATACTCTGTGCAGTAATGTCAGTTATAGCTCAGAATTGCTACAGTCATGTCAAACTGAATCCTTATGGAATCTATAAAGCCCCCCCTCCCCCGCCCATGTTTTTGAAAAAAGGTCCCATATAGCCAAGGCTGGCTTCAAACTCACATAGCTAAGGCTAGCCCTGATCTCCTGATTCGCCCATTTCCATTTCCCAAAGTGCTGGAATTACAGGCATAGCCATCATGTGTGGCTTATGCAGGACGCTTAATATCTCCAATTTTTAGTCACTGTCTTTTGCTATTACAAAGCAAAAATATTATGCTCAGAGAAAGTAATTCCCACTATGCTGTTAAGTTCTGCCACAGATAAGACTGGTACACCAACGTGTAGTCATTATTAAAATAAAACAGTTAATAAGACATTTGTGTGTGTGTGTGTGTGTGTGTGTGTGTGTGTGTGTGTGTGTGTGTGTGTGTGTGTGAAAGGACCAAGTCACAGACTAATTCAACATGATCTCCATTTAGGAGAATATGCGTGTAAGAGTCTAGAAATTTCTACAGCAGGACTAATTTGGGCTGTGTAATTCTTTGTTATAGGGGCTTCAAAATAAAACATTTAGAATATTCTCAGATTCTATCTCCATTAGGAACCATCAGATGCTTCCCTCTGAGGCATGGCAATAAAAAACATGTCTCTAAGCCAGGTGTGATGGCGCATGCCTCTAGGGCCAGCCACTCAGGGAGCCTGGGGCAGGATGTCCAATAGCTTCTTGGTTTCCAAACCTAGTTCCAGGTAAACTTGGGCTGCATTGTGAGACTCAGAAAACAAAAACATCTCCAGACATTGCTAATGTCCCCTGGGGGAAAAATGGTCTCAAAATGAGAACAGTTTCTCTGCCCTAATACACTTAGAGTGGTTAAATTTGTGTGGGATTTAATTACAAATAAAACTATTTCCATTTCTAGTTGGTTTATGATCAATATACATATATATGCAGATATATCCATGCATTTCTATAATAAAAATAAAAATTATTAAAATACCCAAAGCCAAACTATTAAAAATTTAGGCACTTTTTAAAAAATAAAGGCTTTGGAAAACAACTGTAGCTAAAAGATTTGTGGTTGATGTAATGTGAAGAACCAAAGAAGGAAAAAGCGAAAAACAATTCTAAGATAATTTAGCTTGAATTCATCTGGAAGATGTGGGGGTGGTAATGTGTGGGCCGGAGAGAATATGATTTATGACCCAATGCACCCAGCCTTGATGATCAACTCTCTGTTTAATGCTCTCATTATGTTTATCACACTGGGCAGGCTTGCGCTCTGGGCTGTACAAAGAGTTTTTCCCTGCTGTACTGATTTCCTTGGAGCTGGGTACAACCCAGAGCATCAGCTCTTTCTCCTGTTGCTGGGAGACAAATTCCCTTTACCCACTCTCATCCCTTGGGCAAGATATTACCTTATTTTATTTTTTATCTGTATGGGTGCTTTGCCTACCTGTATGTCTGCATACCACATGCATGCCTGGTGCTTGTGGACAGAAGAGGGCATCTGATACCTGAAACTGGAATTACAGATGGTTGTGAGCCACCGTGTAGGTGCTGAGAATTGAACCTGGGTCCTCTGGAAGAACAGACAGTACTCTTAACCACTGAGCCATCTCTCCAGCCCCAGTGGTGGCATTTGGATGTATCAGTTGTTTAGGAGTTATGGGCTGTGGGTATAGATTCAGTGATGAATGTTTTCATGAGTAAAAGAAATCTAATGTGGAAGCAGTATGTAGACCTGGTTTTATCTTGCGCGATAACCAGTGATAAGTTGTGTAGCACTGGTCAAGAACCCTGACACTTCACAGCTACACTTGTTCCTCAGAGATAGACTCCTATGAAGATGTAGAGGAGGTGTTGGGGCCTGACCACAGAAGAAAGGATCCAGGACAGTTGCTTCCCACATCTGAGACATAGTCATCTTCCTACAAGAAATATGCCATAGGCTTGCTTGGATGTATGGATATGACTTTCCATCACAGATGGAAAATATACCTTGAAAATGAATTTAATATGCTCTATTAGTTTCACATAGTCATCATAATATACCCGGCACAGGCTGCTCACAAAGTAAAGAAATATTGCCCTTGGGCTCACAGTTCTGGAGGTTTGAGCTAAAAAGGGGGGCAGCCTCTTGGATCTGGGCTTCTTTGAGGGCGGCATATAGTCAAGAGCGCACACAGAAACCTGTGTTCAGAGCACAAACCAGGAAACAAAGACTGGGAGACCTGAGTCTCACAGTTCCCTTCAAGGGGGTTTCCCCAGTGACCTAAGTCCCTTCTACTAAGCCCCACCCCCTTGAGGCCCGTGGTCTATTTTAATAGTACAGCCTTGGGGACCAACTTTTCAACATACGGACCTGAGGAGATACTCAATGTTAGCATCACTAGCCCAGCTACCATGGCAACTCAGTCCGCCATAGCTCTATTTCTCCTTTGTGACCACAGGGCTGACTGGGAGCTGTGACTCCCCAGCATTAAGCCATTAACAGAAACAATGGCGTACCACTAGATACAAAGCGATCAACTCTTAAAGTTGGAGCTATGTAGTTTCTATAGAATGCGTATATCTTTGATCCAATGAGCAAGTTGAAAATTCTAAGTTGAATCCTAAGTCAGGGATTCTTCCTCTGTCTCTGTCTCTGTCTCTGTCTCTGTCTCTGTCTCTGTCTCTGTCTCCCCCTGTGTGTATGTTCACATGTTGCAAGATGCTGAAATGCTGAATACTTTTGATATGCTTAAAATGACAAGAGACAGAAAGACAACCCAGAATTAGATTTCTCGTTTAAAGGAAAAAAAAATGTGGTTCGACATGGGAAGATTTCGGCGAAGGCACCGAGTAGGAAGCAAATTACTATTGTACTTTCAGGTGAGAAAAACAATGTGAGGCAAGGCACACATTTGCGTCACTCTCTTGTCAAGATGGCTTCTGGCTCTGACGCCGAGCACACAGATCGGCGGGGAATAAGGATAATTTCACATAGCCATCATTCCATGCACTGGCCTGCTCTAAGTGTCCCCTGTAGTCTGGCTCTTTCCATCCTCAAAACAGTGATCAGGAAGTTTTTATTTGTATTTCACTGATGAGGACATTGAAGAACGTAGTAGGCACTTCACAAACAAATATTTTGCAAAATTGATAAGCCAAACTCTCACCAATTATTTTCCTTTTAGCTCTTAAAAACAACCTATGCTCTCCTAATCCTGAACTTCATTTCCAGTTTGTAATATAAATCTGTTCTTCCACCAGAATCATTTCTACAAAGACCAAGGAGAACAGAACACTCTGATTAATATGATTATGCTCTAAATTAAACCATTAAATCAGAAACTGTTTGGATTTGTGGATAATTGCAAAAGACCATGACCCCAGAATCCATCTCTTCTACCAGGGCTGTCTGCTTCTGCCAAGCATATGACTAAGGAAATAGGATCATATCTGTCTTCCTGAAAGAGACTCTGTGGACTGAGTTTATAATTAAACAAATACATAAAACGTTGATGTTTCTGTAGGTCTAAAACATTGAAACACCAACCGTCTTTCATGGTTCAACTTTATAGATTCTGTCGTGTTTAATGTAGTGTGATGTAGAATTTAATTAAGTAGGGAAGACGCTGGGTAGTTACTGGATTGCCAGGAAGGTGTTTTATGATGTACTTCACTTCCCACAATAAACGGCGTCAAACTTTAATAAACCCTTCCTCACATATTCATTTAACTTGCTTTTCTATGCCCAGTGTTTACTTACTACTGATTTTACTATTATGTGGTGAGGTCATATTCATTCACACATTTTCCTAAGAGACTTTGCAGTATTGACTGCCCCTTAGTCAATTAATTAGTGATTCAGCATTTCAACCATGGAACATTGCTAGTTTACAGTTATGTAAGTATATTTTTATCAATACATGTACCCAAATAAGTATGGTATTCTATTATAAAATGTGGCAGGTCTTTCGGGCAACAATGGTTCCTACTAAATTATTGAGCGGGTATTTTCCTGACTACAAAGGAATAGCCACTTAAGCTCACACTCCAGATCTGCTGCTCAAAAACTGATAAACACCGCCCCTTACAGAAGACAGACGCACAAAGGCTGACCTGATTGGCTCATTTTGAACATGGATTATCATGACTAAACAGTGAGTTGAGTTCTCTATATGTAAACCACTCTCCCTCCATTTAGTGGCACAGGTGTGTTTTGAAGTGTCCTAACATTCTCATAATCAACAAATTCTAGAAAAAAAGGTGTTTATAAAATAAATGACTTTTATGAAACATTTTTACCGTGGTACATACATATGATAAAAATCTAGAAAATAACTGTACTATAGGTATACTTGTTAGAAAATAATAAACCATGTCCACAGTGCAAGCTCTGTAGAAAGTCTCCATCCAACTTGGAGATGCCTACTCTGTCTACAACACAGCTCAGGGCCCTGTATTCCAGAAAGTTCCTGTACTCCAGGATTTGCTATGGATTGGGACGATGGTCCTGTAGAAGTCAACCACCTGGAGGAGGCAGGGCCGACCAAGTGCATGAACAGAGACAGGAAAGTCATGCCTGACACTGGGAATCTGGACACAGGTTGACCTACTCGTCTCCATGGTTCACTCACTGGAATGGTTCATTCATTTGTTGACAGGTGCGTGCCCTGTCACTGGAGACGTCAAGTCAACAGGAAGTCCGGGTTTAGCTTTCCATTTGTACGTGTAACCCCCATTCCTCCATAAATTGTACGAGATAGTTTTCATTTTCGTCCTCTGGCTTGTCAGGTGCCTGGTTCTCATAGAATCTGGACAAAAGACCATCCTCTGAGAGCTGGTCTCTCTCACAATGTCCGTAGTCCACAGGATCCTGGCCAAAGCTAGGGAAGGAAGGGATGCACAGCCTGCCAGTTTGAGGGTCCCAATCCACCAGTGTTGTGGACGGCTCTTCCTCTGGCCCCTCTTCTGAGCCAGGATGCTCCTGTCCCAGGGGATGTAGGTCTTCAAGAGGTGGGCCCAAGTTTGCTAAAGCTGCCTGAGGCTCAGATAATTCTCCTGCTCTGGATGCCTCGTCCTGCCCACAGGACTGGTGGTCTTCGGCCTGCCTGTAGAAATCAGTTGGGATACCATACTCATGTTCAGCGTCTGCCTCCCCTGTGGGCATGGTGCTGCTGAGCCATTCGTGATGGGCTAGGAGACCATTTTTGTCTCTTTGCTCAGCACTACAGACAACATCCACCAAATGCGAAGAGTATCCTATGTGCTGCCCCTCCGTCTCCTCCAGATGGGGCTCCTGGCTCTCACTGAACTCAGGGTCATTAAAGCTGGAACCATCGCTGCTTTTTTCCAGGAAGCTCATATCCTTTTGAGAAATTTTAGAATCATCCAACACATTGAGGGTGATAAAATTAAGCGTAATTGTTTCAGCAGGCTCAAAGACTCTTTTAATTTCATTTCCATAAATCAAAATCTGCAGAGAGAAGAGAATGGACGTCACCTTCTCACTTTAGAGAGATGTTACAAATAGCGGCCAACTAGAACTTCCAGGGTCACCTGATGGTGTGACCTTCTCTGACCAACTCAGGAGAGGGCATTACGCCTGGCCTAGAGAGGACACTTCCCTCGACCCCCAAAACGCAGCCGGAAGTGAACTGGGTCACTAGTGAAGGTTCCTCTGGTGTGAGGCTCATGGGTGTCACTGAGAGAGGGGCTGCTGGTGAGTCAGTTAAGTTCTGGAATCTTCTCAATTCCTTGAGATTGGAAACTCTGCTAGATGAAGACTGGTGATGAGTAAGACAGGTGAAAGTGAATTCTGTTTGTAGTTAGTAAGCTGGGGCTACCCAGACGACTAGCCCTTTCCTGGATAGACTGTGGATATGAGATGCACTCAGGCATCAAAGTAGGATATAGGAAGGGAGTATGATGTTTGCTTTCTATTGTCACCTGAGGAGAAACTCAATGAGGAAGTGTCTATGTCTGGATTAGGTTGGTCTGCGGGCACGCCTGTGAGAGATTTTCTTAATTAAGCTAAGGGAGGTGAGAGGGACACACCCTGAACATGGGTATCATCTTTTCCTAGGCTGTGCCATGGAGGCATTAAATCATGCTTCTCTGTGGTACTCTGCTTCAAGCTCCTACCACCTACCACCCTTCCCTGCCCCTGCCCCCAACTGATAGGCTGTAACCTGGAACTATGAGCTGAAACAATCCCGTTCCCCTATAAATGGGTTTAGTCAAAGTACTCAATTACAGTACCAGAAAAGGGAATGGATACAGGGATATAATGTTCAAATTGTGCTAGAAAAAGGCAAAAAGGAAAAAAGAGGGAGAAAAAATCATTTCATCTGCTAGTATATGGGAAATTTTAAAAAGTCTAAACCATGTCAAGGATACACAAGAATAAAGAAAACCAATAAGGTTCCCATAACCCCAGCTACGCTGGAAGCTAAGAGAGGAAGGGCCAGCTGGAGCAATTCAGCCAGACCTTGTCTCAGAAGAAAAGACAAAGAATTGTTTGGAGATAGAGCTAAGGAGTGTAATACCGTCTGCATGAGGAAGGCCCTAGGCTCCATCCTGAGTACCACAGACATAATTTTTGTTCTGCTCTGGGGTCTGCGGAAGGTGGCTGTTATTGAGGGAAGCATCAGTGACAAGGTTCCATCTTCCTGTCACCCCATGGCATGCTTTCATTTAACCGCTGAGCCCATCGGGTCCTCCCATCAGATGGTCCTGTAACATCTCATTTGTTTCTTCAAGTTGCTTCCTCTTTCAGTGGATGCTCAAGTCCTGGCCTTGTGCTTCCTAAGCATGTTTAGATTCCATGTTCCAAACCCCTACCCCCATGTCCCATTCTTCTCTTCTTTTCTCCCCCAGATGGCGTCTTAGCTGCATTTACTTTACTAGAACAAGCTGCCTTTATTTTCTAGAAGATCTAAGACATAATGGTGATCATAGCATTGCAGCTCAGAACCTTACTGAAAATTCTCTGAAGACTAAATAAAGTTCAACCCCGAGAAGAGCACCACATACTCCCACTCTGCGGCCCGGTGCCTGCTCTCCAGTGTAGCTCCTCATGGAGGACATGATAGGCTGGTCATATGATAAGCTTTCCCACCATGGCATCCACCTCCCCTTTCCCTGCTACTTTTGCTTGTAATAAGTGTCCTAGCTCTTACCTCCACATTCTTGAACATGAGAACTGATCACCCCCCCCCATATTAAAGGTTTCAGGGCTTCATTGTACCCCGTGAGTCCTCAAAAACTTGTTCTCTTTAGCCTTCACATGCTATCTCTAACGAGGCTTGAACTTTGAGAAAGACGGAGTGATCATGACTTAAGTTATTTGTTTATCCCACAGCCTTATCTCAAGCACTCACTAATTATGAACGTGTTTCAAACCTGAGGAAGTTTTAGTGTTTGTATATTTGTGAATGAATTCAGTACAAAAGCTGTTTTTTGTTTGGTTTTGGGGTGCAGGTGGGGTCACACCCAGCATGGCACACATGCTGTGTAAGGACTCTCTTACTCAGTTACTCCCGGCTCAGAATGTGTTTTAGAATTCATCAACGGCTTAAGGCCACTCCGCTGATGTGAGACTGTATCTATTCTACCCCCTTCTCCTCTCTTCCTGTTGCCTTAACAGTCTCCCACCATGCCAAGCACTCACCAAATTCGATGGGTGTTTTTCTTTGCCAACATGGATGTAACGGTAAACTGAGTAGCCAATCACAGAAAAAAGAAAGACGATTACAGATGTGGGCAAGACATACCAGAAGATGACTTTAACCTTCAGTGCTGACATTTGATCTGTTAAAGAAAAATCATAGGTCAGGACTGGATGGTTGTGTTTCTCATCTATACACTGAGAAGTTTCAGCTAATATAGTAAAGGGTCTCAGAATTTGTCATCTCTCTGACAATAAAGTTCTCAAGGCACCGTCTATAAACTCACCCCCATCTTTACAGTAAGGCTGCATTAATAATATTAGTTACTGGGTATTCCAAAATCTTATGTCAGGCTCTGACATCCATCCTGGCTCATGTATGAGAAAATCAATGGATCTGTCAGCCCAGGAATTCATAGCTCTTCAAACTGAACAGCAGCACCCTCTTTAACGAAATCCCTAGTGCCAGACAAGGGAAACCTCCCTTTGAGTTAGTCAGAGGAGTCCAGGAAACTCCTCAAATGTTACAGACCACAGCCATTGCCCTTTGTGGCTTCCTAGAACTCGAAGGTAAGACCCTATTACTGAAGATACCACACACTCTGGACACAAAAATTGGAGAAATCAAGCTGGTTTTGACCTAGAGGCCTTTTTTCCTGAGAACCAGATCTCAGTATTTAAAGGTACAATGCAAGCTGCCGAGAGAGAAGCAATCAATAGTCCTACCCTACTATAAAGCCTGCAGACCTCAATAATGATGAGCATGACGTCATATACTCAAGGGTACAACAGTGGCTCCTCCATTTCGGGGGTAACCAACAACCATCTAATTTGGCCTAGCCTTGGCCAACAGGAGAGAATTCATGGCTGGTTCTATAAACCTTGCCAACTACCCATGGCTGGTGAGGTCATGGACCTCAGAGGAGACCCTACTACCTGCTGCCACTTTCCTAAACCAATATAATTTCTAATTGCATTCTAAATACGTACCTGTATCCTTATACTCAAAGACAAATGTAGCTCCTACCTCTCCCTCATCAAACAAGCTGGTTTTTTGCAGCAAAGACCATTACAGAAATCCACAACCGGACAAAATGCAGATAGCAACTGACTATGGAGTGCTCAGTCCCAACTGATCCATATACCTAACTGGTCATTACATCGAAGGCCCAGGGAACATTCTGAAGTGTAGGCAGGACAATTGTAAGAGCCAGAGGACCAGGATGACTCCTGTGAGAGAGTGTCTTCTAAATTCGACAAGGAAGCTACACCCAGGGAATCTAAACATCATGGCCACCTGAACAAGACCAGCTGACATGGCAATGTGGATGGGGAAATGTTTCAAGGCCCCAACCCATAGATAAAGAGCCATAGGCAATTAATGGCTGCTGGGAGAGCCATTTTTCTCCAGGGACAAGGACCCTGGTAGCTTAGCTATTTCCGAGTGGTCAGTCCTAAACATGTATACATAGAAACAACACTAAACTGACTGAGCAGGTTATAGTGTGTGTGTGTGTGTGTGTGTGTGTGTGTGTGTGTGTGTGTGTGTGTGTGTGAGAGAGAGAGAGAGAGAGAGAGAGAGAGAGAGAGGATGAGGTCATGAATTTGAGAAGTAGTGGGTAATACACAGAGGGAGTGTTGGAGGGGAAGAAGGGGGGGCTAGATTATGTAAATTCAGTGCTTATATATGAAAGCCTCAAAAAAGCTTAAAAATTTTAAGTTAAAACAAAAGATCTCATACTCTGCCATGCTCCTGGTGGGTCTCATTGTCCTCTGTATATATTCAGTACGTGACATGAAGATATGGCACCCTCATACGGTGGCTAACAGATTCATTTTGTGCTGGTGGACCAGTCCTTCTGGGTAGAGCTAAAGCTAAGGGATAATTGTTGGAGAGTGATAACTCACTCTTTTTCTTTCTTTCTTTCTTTCTTTCTTTCTTTCTTTCTTTCTTTCTTTCTTTCTTTCTTTCTTTCTTTTTTTTTTTTTTTTGGTTTTTCGAGACAGGGTTTCTCTGTGTAGCTTTGTGCCTTTCCTGGATCGCACTCTGTAGACCAGGCTAGCTCGAACTCACAAAGATCCACCTGCCTCTGCCTCCCCAGTGCTGGGATTAAAGGCGTGCGCCACCACTGCCTGGCGAGAATCCTTTCTTGTCAAAGAGATAACATGAAAGAGTGAGACTCAAAAGTAAAGCTGTTCATATGTGCTTCCAACACTTTTCCTTTTCCTGGGGACTGTTTCACCTTGAAAGGGAAGAGGAACACAACAGGAGTGGGGTGGGGAAGGGGGAAGGGTGGGACTGGGGCTGGAGATTCTTTTATTTTTTTTCTTTTCATTTTTCGAGACAGGGTTTCTCTATGTAGCCCTGGTTGTCCTGGAACTCACTCTGTAGACCAGGCTAGCCTCAAACTCAGAGATTCATTGCCTCTGTCTCCTAAGTGCTGTGTGTCGCCACTGACTGGCTAAGGGCTGTGCGTTCTCAGTCAAGGATGGGGAAAGAACCAGAACCTGCAAGAGGTTGAGAGCATGTTAGAGGGAGGACCAGAATGATAATGGATGAAGACCATCCTGATGAGGGAGGACCAGAATGATCATGGATGAAGACCTCCCAATGAAGGAGGACCAGAATGATAATGGATGAAGACCTCCCTGATGAAGGAGGATCAGAATGATCATGGATGAAGACCATCTGATGATGCAGCAGAACTTGAAGGTCTATCTGTCTTCCATTTCCAGGGGTTGAGCTGAAGTTCTCACTCTAGGGCAGACTTATTAAACAAACACAAGGCTCAGAACTCCAGGTCTCTTAAAAGAAGCACCCCAAACTACAGTTCCCTGGGAGCCTTGCTCAGAAAACACAGGAAGGAGGCAGAGAGAAGCAGCTGTAAGAGACTGATTCTGGTGACCCCACATCCGCCCGCAGCTGACAAGTGACAGGTGATGTCTGAAGGCAACTTAAGGGGCCTGTAATTTGTATCCCAAGGGAGATCCGGGCAGTGGCATTTGAAAGTGTTCCCAGGGCAATGCTTTGCTTCCTGCCGTATAGATCTTGGGTGTTCTCCAAGGCTTGGCTAGAGGGACTATGGCTGGATAGATGAAAAATGATTCCTATGAAAGTTCTTAATGCTATTCCCAAGGTAGGAAGCTATGTTAACTGGGGAGGATTGTTGCCAGTGGACTCCTGCTGACGGTTTCCAGGTGTTGTGACAAGCCTCCTTAATACTGACCAAGTTCAACAGCAAAACCTCAGACAGTTCAATGTATTTAGAGAAGTAGTTGTTTTACCAGGTTTTACCCTGATCTTCATAGACGTGGCTTTGTTAAGACTCTATCTAAACTGTTATATTTTTTTTTCTGTTTTATCAGCTTTCTTTCCTAGGCTAGCTAAAGTCTCTTGCAGCTTACCTTCCAGAGTTCTGATGCATTGCTTCTGAGAAGGCAGAGTGAGGCGAGGAGGCCCCGGGACAAAGGACTCCACATGGACACAGTACAGAGTGCTGGGTTCCAGCCAGCTGAGTACCAGTGTGCTGTTGGTGATATACTGTGACCACTGGGGTAGGAAATTGCAGAGATTAGAACCAAAGATGCCAGGACCTTCCCAGGAACAGCTCTAGATAGAAGTGAAAGGCCAAGTGCCACCAGATCCTTCCTGTCACTATAAGCTTTTATTTTTTTTCAACGTAGGTTTAAAAATATATTTTCATTTAACTGAGCAGAACATGTTAGAAATGGACCAATTCAAGGAGCACCACTAAGTAATAACTCAAGATAGAGTTCTTGTTTAACTTTGTCCTGTGTTCTTGCTCATATGTATATATATATATAAAATATTCTATATTATATATTCTAATATACAACTATAACTATAAATATATATATATATATATATATATATATATATATATATATGCCTGGAAAATGATTGATAGATGCTGTGTAAGTAAAGACGCTTCATCAGGTAAAATGCCCGATTTCTCTATACTCCAGTTGTGACTTCATGCACTGTTAACAGTGCACTTCTGCAGGAAAAGGCCTGAAGTCTCCTCAGCTCTCAACTGATCTTGTACAATATCTCTTTTGAATAGCGTCAGCTGCCACATTCTCAAAAGAGAACTGGAGCACCAGGACTGCCTGTGGTGGCCCAGAAAGTGACACCCGGAGGCTAGACCCCATCCCAGGCAGGGCTCACCCTTCTTCTGGATTTAGTGTCGTACACAGACACGTTGTATCTCAGATTGGAGTATATTTGCTGCATAGGAACAGAGTCATCTGTGGGATGTCTTTTCCATTTCTCTGGCGCTGTCAGGGCAATAGAGATGGACTTCTCGCCACTTGTCAGGGCAACCTCTGGTGGGCCAACTTGTGCTTAGAGGAGAAGAGGGTATTAGTATTTTCAGGTGAGAAAAAACCCTGAGGTAAAGCTTCAGTATAATCTTACTTGGATCAAAGACCTAAAACCACTCTCTTATGGGAGATCTTGCCACCATAAAAGCCCAGAGGCTCTTTGCTGGCCACAGGATCTCTGTTGCAAGGACTCCACTCAGGTTGTGGTTCAAAAGCAGTCATTGGCAGCAGTATAAACACGTGAACAAGGTTGCTGTTCTGGAAAATTTTAGATCCAGACACTGAAATTTACAAAATACTTTCTAGATAATTTATTTTTAAAATTTATTTTTTTTTTTTATTTTATGTGTATGGGTGCTTTACCTGCATGTGTGTCTGTGGACCACATTGCATGCATTGCCAGTGGAGGCCAGAAGGGGGCATCGGATCCTGTGGAACTGGAGCTAGATGTGGTTGTGAGCCATGTGGGTGCTGGGAACTAAACCTGAGTCCTCTGCCAAGAGCAACATGTGTTCTTTACTGCTGAGCCATCGCTCCAGCCCCTGACATTGAAATTTAAATTTCGTATCATTTTCACACGTCAAAAATACTATTTTACTTAAAAAGCTATTTTTAAAAATATAAATACTATTCTTAGCTCATGACCTCATTACCCGTTGAAAAACAGAGGTGCTAGATCTGACCTGAGGGCATGGGTTACCAGTCTCCCACTGGGCAGACTCCTGGAAAAGGCACCACCTTCTGGGGCCTCTGCAGCCCTTGGCTGTTTCATTATGGTGGCTCTGTCTGCATTCCTCATGGTTGGGTCAGTCACATATCAGGGGAAGGAAAATTATAAAAGCAAATAGCAGGAGTATTCTTGCCTTAATTTGAGTTACACCTAGAAACCACAGCACAATGCCAAGTTTAATGAAAAAGAGATTTTGTTGTGCGTTCAGGGTACATGTCAATAATTGACAATGTATTTTCTAATGTATAGCCTCTACTTTGATAAAACAATGGCAAGACAAAATCAAAGTTTGCTATTATTGACACCTGTCTTTAACTCTGAATCTGAGAGAGACCTTAAAGATGCCTTGGCCAAATCTATTGATCTACAGATTTGACTCTGGGGTTCACCCACATGAAACACCAGGGCAGGTTATTCAACCGGCTCTACAGACCAGAGTCAAGCGGACCCTTTTTTCTGGGCAAAGTTGCCTATGAGGCCAGCGTATCACAACAGGAATCCATATTAGTTATGCTTAGTGGACAGCGGCATTACTCACTTTCTAAGAAAGGATAGAACCGTCCCGTTTCAACCCATTCGGAGCACTTGGTTTCCTGAATGGCCTTCACCTTGGCGTAGTACTGATGCTCATAGTCTGAGGTCTCTGCAGAGAGATCGCAGTAGGTCCTGCTGATGTTGGTGCATTCAGATGCACTCAGCCATTTCTTCTGCCCATATCTGCTAAGAAAGAAACTGTGAATTAATAATGAGCCCCCTTACATGCTTTACGATTTAAAAAAAAGTCATTATATAAAAGTGAACGGAGGACCTTCTCTTAAGTAAAACACAGATGCTTGTCATTCTGATAAAATTGAATCCCCTTTTGTGGCTGTGGATATTTTTATTGGCTGTCAGGAGCCTGAGTCAGAGTTTCTATAAACACTATGCTTTTCTGTGAATTACAATGTGCATAGTGCATTCTGGAAGCATGTTACAGTTTCATACTTCAACGACAGTAAAATTTTTATATACTGTGTGATCAATCTCTAGTAATTAAGTTTTTAGTCTATATGAGGTTAGTTTGATGGATGCATTAAAGGAAAGTTAACCTTTTTTATTGAAAGAGACATTACTTTGACATTCTCATAAAATTTGAAACTTTGCTAAGTATTAAGAGTCTGGGGGAAATTTTACTAGGATACAGCGTGTCTGAGTATACCATAACTGTATTGCTATTAAATTGAGGACATTGTCCATATTGTTTGGTTGTTGTTGTTGTTAAAATACAACATCCAAAGAAAATGGGGAGGGAGAAATATTTTCAGCACTTCTCAGGTAAGAGAGACTGTGGCATAAAAAGCTCAGTTAAGTGGTAAGTCAGGTGGGGAGACAGGGTTGTCCTGAAGGTTACTGAAGACATTAAAGCAGGACTTTGGGGACAAAGATGACAGGCATGGTTTAGAAGGCTGGCCACTCATCTCCAGAGAGTGCAGTGTGTTGGTGGTAGCAATGCACAGAGCAATTTCGAGGACAGTGTTGTGGTCCAGGAGAAAGGTGTGAGCAGTATGAATAAGGATGGTAGTGAAATGAATAAGGACACAATAAAAACAAGAACTGTTAGGGGCCAGGACCAGGCGACTGAGTGCGTGCCAGGGACCACACAGTAAAGATGATGGAATGTCTCTTTCTGCTTAGGGCAAGAGCATGGACTATGGCAATATTTACAAGATAGAGATCACCAAAGAAGAGTGGGTTTGGGAAATTGGGGAGGGGAGGGATAGGAGGAGGGGAAACTAATGAATTCAGCAGTGCCAGGCTGCATTTGAGCTGTGTGGAGAGTTCTCCACATGCAGGAGCTCCGGGTTCAAGAGAGAGGTATGAGGGGGCGGTAGTGATTTTGGAGTCAATAGACGGAGTGCGCATGGATGGCTTAGGCAGGAATACCCAGAGCGAAGTCTGGATTAAAACCCCAGAAGCATTAAGGTGGGTGCAAAATAGACTTGGGAACTGCAGCAAAAAGCGGGGAGTGGAGAAACATTCGTCACAAAAGTCATGGCAGAGTATGTCTTGATAAGGAGGATTTGGCAACATTACTGAGTATTGCTAAATTTGTCAAAAGATGTGGCAACAGAGTCCCGAGGCAAATCTCTTCCAGGTCATAAATGCCACATCTGCCAAAAGGTGTTAGACATACATTCATATCTCAATCACCTTCTCCTTGTAGATTATCAACAGTGCCTGGGGGCTTTCTGATCAATGATGAAAGGAAAAAATGGGTCTGCATTTACATATATAGTTACATTTTGATTCAGTTTGTGAAACAGATTATCTAACACAGAGAAACAGGTTTTACCAGATTGTACCCAAACTTTTCTTCTTGCTGTGCATTTGGTTGTCCATACCATTCCATTTCTTTCCTTAAAAGATACTATTCATGTTACTCAAAACTGATTTACTTTTCAATTCCATTTTACTGTTTTGATTTTGGTCTTTCAAGATAGGAGTCTTGTATGATCTAGGCTAGTCTCGAACTCTCTATGTAGCTGACAATGACCTTGAACTCCTGATCCCCCTGCTTCTACCTTCCAGGTGTTAGGATTAGGAATGTGGCTTCATGCTGATTTCTTGACCTGTCAGCAGGTCTTGACTTGAAGTCAGAAAAATACTGTCACTGCATCCTTTGTGTTCCCTTTTGTAAACTGCCTCACCCTGCCAAGGGCAGGGCACCTTCTTACCATGCAGATGCTGACCGAGAAGAAAATGCCTGTCCCAGATATCTGAATGGGAGATCTGACAAATATTCCAGTGGCAATAACCTCCCACAGGACGAATCTTGTGGGGGCCTCGCTGGTCTCCATCTATTTCTAGTAAGCACAGCAAACACCTGTGAGTGCCCATAATGAGACGAGGGTGGTACTCCAGGCTTACATATATCACCTCACTGGACTGCGTGGCAAGCCCGGTAAGTGGGCTTCACTGTTTTTGTCCCATTTCTACAGAGCTGGAAATTGAAACTCAGGAAGATTAAGGGATCCAGTCAAGTTTGCAGAAGCAGCAAGAGTTGATCTGAAATTGGAATCACTTTTCCCAGTGTCAAAGCTGGTGTTTTGGGTGCCATGCCATTTTCTACACCAAATTATTTTGTGGGTATAATATAAACTTTAAACATTTTGCTCTGGAAACAAACCTCACTAAACTGTATAAAAAAGCATGTAACCTGCTCAAGGTTCCTCAGCTAGGTTCACAACCTGGCTATGAATCCAGGACTGTCCGACTCCAGCACTGCACTCTGTGTCCCTGTCCACTTGGTTCATACCCAGGGATGTCAGAACTCCTATGGGACAAGTGTCTTTTTTAAGGACTCATTTTAGAAAGTTGCACAGTATAACTTATTTGTTCTCATACAGCAATGATGATCCTGGTTATTATTTTTTTTAAAGTTCTTTCTGAAACACTGGGAAGTCAGGAGGACAGAGCAAGCTCTTTGCCCCACCTAATGGAAGGAGGAGGAGTGAGGACATGCTGGTGAGCCATTGCTCTGTGCAAAGCTGAAGTCTTTCTTTAAACACCTGCTCCTGAGACTATCCTTGGAAATAAGAATGGGGTGCTAGAAAAAGGCAACCCGGAGTATTCCCTGAAGTTTTTGCCCAGCTTTCGTGGTCCGAATTCATTTTCCAAGGACAAAGATGGTCATTCTCTTTTGCAAATGTGGTGCATGCTTTTAAAATTCAGGAAGTATAACCAAGGGAGAAATAAATTACCCTTACAACTCATTAACAAGAAACATTTGATGTGAATGATGCTGGGCACTTTATCCTACTTATAGAAGGAAGGATGATTAGACAGCTACATAGACAGAAATCAGGTCATACCTGAAGCACATATTTCTAATAAAGCAGTGACTTTCACTTTATTTGAATCTTAATCAAAAGAAATGAGGTAACCTGAAAAGAATTGCTGAAATCCAAATGTTCTGTTACCATGAGAAATATTAGTTCCTTATGACTTTCTTAATGAAGAAAATGGTTTTGAAGACTACTGGAAAAGTTAGTTATTAAATGATGATACACAGGCATTGTATCCATGGGTTCCACTTTTGTGGATTTAATCTGCTGTGGATTAAAAACATTGGAGAAAGAATTGCTTCTTTACTGAACATCTGTAGTATGGCAGTACTTTGATAGCATTTATACTGGTAGCATGCATTATAATAATCTAGGGTGGCTTGAAGAGTATAGGCAGATATGTACAGATTATAGGCAAATGACATGTCATCTAATAGAAAGGTCTGATGCATCTGTGGAAGGTCCAGAACCAATTCCTCATGGATGCCAAGAAAACAAGGAAGTTCTACAGTCACACTTCCTGTCACCATTCAGTCTAGAAGAATTCTATATTCAACCCTGTTTTTCAGTACATGCTTGTAATCCAGGCTTTTGGGAGCTAGACAGAAGAATTAGGAGTTCAAAGTCACCCTCAGCTGTATTGAAAGTCAGAGGCTAGCCTGGGCTACGTGAGGCCCCATCTCAAAAACAAGAACAAGCAAACATACAGAAAAGATTGGGTTGTCTATCTACTTTAATAGAACAACATAGACCATTATTCTATGAATTCTTCTCTTACTCCCATGGGAAAGGTCTTAGAGGAACTTTTTTATTTGAATTCACTTGCCTCTTTCACTCTCAATAATTACGGGTAGGTGCTATCCCAGTTTCTTACCAGGGCTTCGAATGTGGCTACCTGTTGGCTAATTAGACAAGCCTCACCTGTCATAGACTAAAAGCTGCGTGAAAGATCCCGAGCGAAGCCAGCAAAAGAACCATCTATCCAAGCCCACGAGACCACAGTTCTCGAACTGTGAGAAAGAATAAAATAATATTTAAAAGTCTGAGGGGTAGGAGTGGGAGTCAGATAATGAGCTTTCTCCGTGCAGAATTTCAAACTTCTACTTCTGTCAAATTCTCTTTTATCAAATCTATTATTCCCTCCACTGGAGCGCCTGCTTGCCTTTAGCTTATGGACTCCTGGGGGCTGATGTGGCTCCTGGCACTCCTGTAAGGTCACGGTCTGCTTGGGCTGCCGCTTCTTTCTTCCTGCGCCTCTCTCTCTTACTCTAGATTTGTCACCGCCCTGTGACTGGGCCTCCATGATGAGTGTGTCACTGCCGGTCCCCTTCCTATGACATTCTGTGGCACCAAGCTGTGGCTCCTTGGGGCTGTCTTGTCAGACACTGGTGGTGAAGACGTTAAATTACCCCTTCTTAGAGTGTTAGACAAGCACTTGAGAACCTAGTACTGAGGAATCATTCTCACCCATGGAACTCAACAGGTAGACATGGCTCAGTGGTTAGGAGCACTTGCTATTCTTCCAGAGGTTTCCAGCACCCACACCAAGGGCACACAACCGCCTATAACTCTAGCTCCAGGTGATCTGGACCCTCCTGTGGCCTTCATGGGCACCTACACACATTTGGCATACCCTCACACAGACACGTACACATGTGAAACACGCATAAAGGAAAAGAAACCCTAAATAAAAAGCAGTTCTTAAAAATGAAAGAAAGAAGTGCTGGTTTGCTTTTGGCATCTGTGGTGGTTTCACTCTGGCTTCTACAGGATTTGGTTTGCTTGCTTCCCAGTTGGTGGTCTGGGTTATGTCCCTTTCCTTAGTCTCTGGAGATGGACACTGTCTTGTCTATTTTGCATTCTCTCTTGCCGGTGAAGGGTCTTGAAGGACAAGTGAAAAGGGTCCATGTGCCGCTCTGTTTAGTAGGAACAGGCCATCACATAGAATTCTGCCCTGTTTGAGCTAAGAACGATCATTCCCTTAAGCGTAGAGGTCTCAGAGTTGGTGGATCGCTTCGTTTGCCTATGCAGAGTCTACCTCTCTAACCGACGTCTTTTCTCCACTCATTTGTTACCGACCCTTTGTGTATCTGCATGTGCACTGGTGTGTACACACATGCCCATGCACATAACACACTGTGCACATGTGGGTGGAAGAGGACACTGGCTGGAGTCAGTTCTCCCTTTCAGCACGTGGGTCCCAAGAATGGAATTCAGGTCCTCAGGCTTGGTGACAAACACCTTAACCTGCTGAACCATCTTGCAGGTTCCCTTTCTCAGTTTTTGTAAGCATGCCCTCACGCTCTTGCCTGAATGTTGAATGCTTCTGGCTCAAAAAAAAATACTTTATAATTTATTATAACATCAAAGAAACAGGAAATGTCTGAACTTTTCCTTTTCAAAGAACTTAATGCCATAGAAAGTTTGCCTTTACACAATCAGCAGGAGTCTGAGACTTGTGCTTAGAAACGACTTGCAAGGAAAAGAAGCAACTTACATGAAATACTGCACCATGTATGTGACTTCAACTCCACGTAGACCCTGGGGTGGCTTCCAATGCAGGACATTCTTCATGTTGACAGATAAGAAGCTGATATTTGTAGGTTTAGGCAAACCACCAGAGACACAAGGAACTGGAAAAGGAGTGGAAAAGAATTGGCTTTTTAATGAAAGGAAGGAAAACTTAATCCCTAAAGTAAGTGCTGACCTTTAAGATGGCCCTAATGCCCCAGACTCTGCATTTCTCCTCACACTCAACCTGAGTGGGGGCTGTGATTTAGGTCACCCAAAAGCATCTAGCAAATGTGACTTGAAGCGTCCACTTTTTGTGCTTTTAGCCTCCAGAGTGGCGTACAAAATGGCAGCCAGGGTGATGGAGAAGGACTACTCTGAGGGGTCATTTGAAGGAAAGAGAGGGTTGGCTGCCCTGATATCCCAGCTGAGCTCAGGCTTCCACAGGAAGTAGCTGTGCCCACTCCAGCTCCACCTGCCCTAGACTGACGCTGCAGGAAGGACCTCAAACGAAACCAGCCAGGCTGCAGCTGAGCCCTAGGCAAGCCTGAGAACGGAGAGCAGTACTTGGTTGGGGTGCAGTTTGTTATGTACTAGCAGGGAAATGAACAATCCATCTTCTAGAGTTAGCTATAAAACCCATGAGTCTGCACTGGAGGCCACCCTCACCACACAGCCAGCCACGCCTCAGTTCCTACCGTGACTCAGCATGCACTCAGTGAGCCAAAGCCGTTGTGGGTGTTAGAGCACAGTGCACTACCCTGCCAGCCTGCCCGCCTTCTCTTCTCTAAAGGGCGGTGGCAACTGCCAGCGATTGTACAGGCTGCAGACCCGTTTTAAAGATCGAAACAGAAACTGGTCTTAAAATGTTGGGAGTCTCATGTTGATATTATTCAGATCTTAAAGTTAATAGGGAAGCCTGGAAAAAAATTTCCTTTATGGTGATACACCCAAAGTTTTATTTAAGCACGAATCATTTTAAAATACACAATTATGGTATTAGAGATGATAAAATTTCTGATGGATGTTATTGAAAGGCTGGCATGTTGGTGGCTGGAGCTTGACTGGATTCACTAAAGTGTATAACAAGGTGACAGACAGAAAACTAGCCAGTACAAGAGGAATTTATTCATTTATTATGCATGTGTGTGCACATGTGAGTGAGTGTGCATGTGCAGTGTGTGTGTGCACATGTGAATAAGTGCATGCATGTGCAGTATGTGTGTGTGTATACACATGTGTGCAAGTGCTCAGATCCAAGGATGGCAGAAAAGGCACTGGATCCCCTGGAGTTTCAGTTACAGACAGATGTGAGCCACACTGTATGGGTTCTGGTCCTCCCTAAGAGCAGTAAGTACCCTTAACCATCTAGCCATCTCTCCAGCCCAGAGATTTCATTTTAAATACTAGCACGCTCACATAATTATTTCAAAGCAAAACTCTGTCTTAAAGGATCTATTTATAGAAATCCTCTGAAAGAAATCATCGAGAACTGAGACACTACCAAAAAAAATAGGAAGAATAAATTTTTTTTCTGAAATAGGATGATCTGTGCCAGCAAGATGCGTTCGCTAGGTAAAGGCTCTTACAGTCAAGCCTGAGGACCTGGGTTCAATTCCAGGGACCAACAGCATGGAAGGAGAGAACTAACTCTTAAAAGCTGTCCCCTGGATTTGTGTGCCCTGACATGTGTCCTTGTCCCCTAAAATAAATAAAAATGTAATTTGAAAAATAAAATAGGCTGATCCTTTTTCTAGGTGTGTGGCCAAGCTGAGGATGGGAATCCTGGGTCTTGAATATGCTAAGCATGTCCTGTATCACTGAGCTATCTCCAAGATCAGGGATGGTCCATGAATTAAAATAAATGAAAAAGTTTAGTGTTAACATGTAGGAATAAAAGCATTAACACTGGGGAGATCACAACATATCGAATAATAAATAGTCCACCAGATTCCGTGAGGAACTTATCCCTTTGTAAATATACATATTCTAGTCTATGAACCTGAGAAACATAAGGTTCGATATTTGCAAATGAAGCTTAGGAAATACGATTTAGCTCAGTCGCTGACATGGGGGTCCCTTGACACTTGTGTGAATTAGCTGGAACTAATGTCAAGGAAAGGAATTAGCTTAATGCTTTGGGCAGTCCTCGGCTCAGATTAGCTCTAAATGATGAATTATAATACCACAAGGCAAATAAGGAAAAGAAAAAAAAATTATTTGTTCTAGAATTAAACTTTGCAATATGACCCCGATTCTAAGCAAGATAAGCTCTTTAACTGCTAGGTGGTCGAGTGTGGGAGTGGGGGGTTGGGGGGGCTGGGGGGTGGGGGTTGGGGGGTGGGGGATGGGGAGGGTCATGTGTGCGCATGCGCAGTGTTCGCCACCTCCCACTGCACCTCGATCGGTTTTAAAAAATACTTCAGTATTATTTTTAATAGGAAAGTTAAACACTCAAAGAGAAGTTCCGTCAGCTTATCCAGTCTCTGCACACAGGGCTAGTGTGGTAATGTGTGCGCGAGAGGGTCTGAAGGGCCGGCTTGTCCTCACACCTTCGCTTTTCACACTTCTCTTCGGAAACACTTTGTGAACACTGATGCTGGCAGTTTCTGTAGAGTACGGATAGTGTACGGTGAGCAGTTAGTGGTGATTTAATGTCGTTCCATGCATTAGGAGGTCCTAAATTTTAATCAGATTTTTGAAGAGGGAACAAGGAATGTAGAGAGGCAGTACCGTTGACTGAAATAAAATGTTCCAGTCCTTCAAGAGAGAGGAATTGCTTTAACCAAAAGACACTTCTCAGATCCTCTCAGGTCTAAAATCCTGTGGTCCCACAATTTTAAATGGCCCTGGCATTTGTGGAATGGGAGGTATCTTATCAGAAACAAAACTAAAATAGACTGCATTATGATACCACTGATGAAAGAAATTGCCGAAACATGGCTTTATAGACATAACTGATAAGGAATGGAATATTCTGATGTGTAGCAACATGATCTAGAGATACAGATACAAAATCATCTTAGATCTTACAGTCCAGGCATATTTCCTCAAAGTTTATACACATAAGTATTGTCTCCGGTTAAAAACTAGTTTCTATTTGCCTTTTAAAATAAGTAAACAATGCACAAACTAATGACTACCTAAAATATGCCCCCAAAAGATTTAAGAAACATTTTGGATTAAAAAGAATGGATTGCTCATTTAAGTTAAATGTGCTGATTATTTCAAGAGAACAAAGCAATTTTACTCTTCTGAAATTAATTATGCTCTGGAATACGCCATCAACCATCATGTTTACTGATCAATAGACCTCTCTCTCTCTCTCTCTCTCTCTTCCATGTGTGTGTGGTATATGCATGTGTGTGTCCATGAGAACACTTGCCTCTGCATGGTGCATGGCAGCCAGAAGTTGACATATGTTTCTTTTTTTGCCACTCTCCATTTTTATGTATGTATGTATGTATGTATGTATGTATGTATGTATGTATCTATCTATCTATCTATCTATCTATCTATCTATCTATCTATTCATTCATTCATTTTGAGAAAGAGTCCTACTCTGAACTTGGAACTCATTGTTTGGGCTAGATTGGCTGGCCAGTGAGTCACTGGGATCGACCTGTCTCTGCCTGTGCCTCCTTTACATTGAGATTACAGATGTGTGCTGCCATGCTTGCATTTTTCTATTTTTACATGTGCTGGGAATCTGAACTCAGGCACTTATGTTTTGCAGCAAGCACTTAATTTACTGTGCCATCCCTATAGCCCCTCAAAAGAGATCTTGATTAATATTTTGTCATTGTTTAAACGGACTTTCACAAATGCTGGCCTAATTATAAAATCTCTGGTGATGATGGGTTCCAGAGTGTGCACAGCTTTTGTAGGAACACATTTAAAGCAGATGTTACTGTCGCGCTTACTATGTCTCAGAAGAACAGTGTAGTCTCTAGCCCTGCAGATTCGTCACTGGGATCAACATTATTTGTCTTATTGCTTAGGCAGAAAATATATTGGTTTTGGATCATCTCCTTGTCAACGAATCAAATCCGGGGGGTGGCCCCATTATAGGCAAAGTAGGTCACATCTTATCTCTCCATCTCTCCAGGATACAGAATATATTCCTTGTTGTGACATGGCTTGCTGGTTTCCAAACTGTTTTTATCAGAGCACATTAAGCCATGTTAATCATCTTCACTCAAGCACAGTACATTTTGTTCCTCTGCTCGCAGACTGTTGATTTCCAGAAATGGATGCCAATCAGTTGCTGTGGATCGATGGTAATTTGTCTAGCTGCCTCAGCCATACCTTTTGTTAGCTATGGGATTTTAATGATTTGTCTTTGGTCAATGACAATAAATGGTTCTAACTGCAGTGAAGGGGTCATGAGTATTCTCACAGCTGCTTGCTCTCTTTGTCCAGGTCTCATTTCAGTAGATAAGGGGTCTTTAGAGACAACTGAAAATGATAGGCTAAGAGCCTGTTTTAATAGTGGATATAGTATGTTCCTAAAACTCAACTTGCACAAGACTATAAAACATACGAATTGCGAATATCTTCATATCTTATAGTATTTAGTTGATGACAAGTAAGTGTGCAATAGAAATAGTTGCTCAGGCTTAGAATCCCTACTGCGACAGCATAATTTTATGTGTTTTATACAACCAACTCAGTCAGTCTCCACAGAAGCCCTATGGTAGGTACTGTTATCATCCTAATTATGTAGATAAAGCAAACGACGCACAAAGAAGATAGTTGTATAAGTCCATGCAGCTAATGTGAAGAGAAATGGACTTGGGAGCACACAATGCCCTTTGAACATCACTCACCTACCACCACTGCAAAGCAGTTATATAAAGAGAAGTCAGAGCATATGGGAAAGCATGGATATTCTATGACGTTGATATATAAAATAATTTAAGTGTTACAATGATTTGATACTGACCTGATGAACACATTTAAAAAAAAACACACATAATATAATAGAAGGCCTTTCCCTTTTCCTGTCAGAATATGGTCTTCTATTTCCTCCTACATCTGACCCTGAAGAATGCAAGTAGAAGCCATCTACTACTGTGTCCTATTAAACACATTCCCTGACCATGAGGGGGCAGCAA